TTGGGACTTCAGTTATTCCTTCTAGATACAAGCAACCAGGGCAGGACGTTGATAGGAAGGCCTGTTAACTGGTTCCACCCAAATTGTGTGCTCATTTTTCTTACCTCTGAGAGCTATCTTGCGGCAGGCTACATCTGGAAGCCTGCAGAGGGTAAAGCACCTTCCTGGTAAGGGGTGCAAGGGCCAGAAGCAGGTGGGATTCTCAGACAGACATGGTGGAAAGGGGAAGAAACAGGAAGATTTGCAACCTAAAACACCACACATAAAATCCATCTCCACCCAATTCCTGCCTTTCAGTTAACTTACAGCCAACTGCAGTTTAAAACTGAGGATCAAACCCGGGCAGCACGCATGCCAGGCGAGCATGCTACTGCTTGAACCACATCCCCAGCCCCACTTTTTTGAAATGGAGATTTAACCAAGGGATGCTTTCCACTAAGCTACATCCCCACCCTTTTTTTTTTTTTTTTTTTTTTTTTTTTTTTTTTACTTTTTGAGACAAGGTCTCTCTAAGTTTCTTAGGGTCTTGCTGAACTGCTGAGGCTGGCCTGGAAATTGTGATCCTTCTGCCTCAGCCTTCCAAGTCGCTGGGATTACAGTTGTGTGCCACTGCATCTGGCTGAAGGGATAAATTTTGATGGATGAGCTGAGATTGGGGAGCCTGATCTGCTTTGGGAGGGTGGGTTGGTGAATGTCATTTAGTCAAGAAGGTACTGAGGATGTAATAAAGATGACATATGGAACTTTCTTTCCCTTTGAAGTGGTATAGGAATACCCTAGGCTGGGCTCTTCATGGCCATCTGAGCCAAGGATTAGGGACAAACTAGAAGTGGAAATTTCTGAATCAAATATGAACTGGCTGCCAATCAAAATCTGGAAGGGGAAATTTATCATCCACCTAAAGGTTCTAGCATTTTTTAGACTGTCTAGCCAGTCATTATTCCAACCAATATATATTGAATGCCTGCTCTATGCTGGCACTATGATGAAAAACTATGTTTGTCTATTTAAGGCATCTGCATATATTTGTTACGTTCATCTTTAGTTTCAGATCTCTGTTGCAGGCCTTTATTAAAAAGGGCCTTGACAACTTGAGAGAGGAAAAAAATCCCATGAACATTAAGCCCTATTTTCACTCAGGAAGCAATCTTTGCCTCATCTTGTTCTTTGACCTTGGTTATTTTTCTTGACACAAGAAGAATAAATTGACCCAACAGAATAAATTTGTCTATTTGCTTATTGTCTGCCTTCACCATTAGACAATCTCTGTGGGTGGGGAGGAGAAGTGCCTTTTAAAGTTATGGTTGAATCTTCAAAAGTTTAGAACAGTGCCTCTAGCAAGTACTAAATTTATAGCTGTGAATGACAGATTTTTTTTTTTCTAAAATCACTTCTTATCTCAAGGTCTAAGTGTGTATGTGTATTTGTGTGTGTACTCGGAGGGTGTGTACTAAGGATTTAACTCAGAGTGCTCTAACACTGATCTACGTCCCCAGACCTTTTTATTTATTTTTTTTTATTTTGAGACAAGGTTTCAAGAAGTTGCCAAGGCTGGCCTTTAACTTGTTATCCTCCTGCCTCAGCCTCCTGACTTACTAGGATTATAGGCATGCACCACCATGCTGGTCTTAAAGTTAATATTTTTTTAATATTCAAAATAACATCATTATTATTATTTTTTAATATTACAAAAACAAACTATATTGTGTTGGGGACTATAGGTGCTGTAAGTGCTTTAGGATTTAAGATTTGGGATCTAGAAAAGATATAATTGCTTATGACCCAAATCCCAGTTCCTTTTTATAGCCTGGAATCACCAGAGTTCAGCCTTTCACATAAGTTAAAATTTATTGCCCCACCCCCACCCCCAGGATTTGGGGGAATTGTCTAGAAAGTTCTGTCAGTCTTGCATTTCAAGTTTGAGCCACCAAATCATTGACTCATTCTTTCACTTCATTGGAGCATATTAGATGCATGTTTGCAAAGGGCCTATTTTTGCTGAGGGGACATTAGGACAATCAACAACTCCCTACACTCAGTGGATTTTGGTTTCTTGGGGGAGATACCTCCTTGTCCAAAAGGTCTTCTGTGAAGTATGAAGGTCTACACTTTTTTGGGTTCAGAGGAAGGAGTGCTCACTTTGTGGTTTTGAATAGGAAGTTCAGGAAGCCTTTCTGGAAGAGTTAGCATATGAGTGAGTCTTCAAAAGGCTGAAGGATAAGTGACTGGCCAAGCCCAGGCAGCAGCCATAGTGCGTGGTGAAGTGGGAGTCAATGTCATATTGACTCTGGGCCTGTCATAGGCCCAGAGAGGAAAGGAACCTTCCATCTCTGGTTAGAACCACATAGGTGAGCTGTAGAATGTAGATTGCAAAAGTGGGTTTGAGTTGCTTTGGGGACCCTGAATGCCAGTAATACTTTATCACAAAATTAAGATGCTAAAAGAAGTTCTAGACCTAGGGATGTTCTTCATACCATGGGATTTTAGAAACACTATTCTGATGGCTATCTGTGGCTTCCTGGGCTGGAACAAGAAAAAATTCCCTGGAGAAAAATTTGGGAAAGAAGACTCAGGAAGATACAGGAGGAAGGAACTGGGAAATGAATGGATTTGAGAGAGTTTTTGAAGGGGAAGTCATTGTGGCTTGGTGAACACATGAGTGAAATGAAAGGTGGTGGGGAGTAAATGAAATGAAGGGGGAGTAGATAATTAAGGGCGATTTGAGGAGAGCTTTGTGCCTCAGTGACTGAGAGAATAATAGCACCATTGATAGAAATAAAAATTGTTTTGGAAATTTCAATGGAAGCAAAGGATGCTGTTTGGGATTTAGACATATAAAAAATGGAGGTGGTGGTAGAACATCTGGTAGGTATATACAGAAGACCTTGGCAACCAGCTAGCCATTGAGTGTCCCTTGCCTAGCTTTAACACTTAGCAAAAAAATGCTGGCGAAGGAAACATAGATTAGGTTGAATCAAGGCCCTGATTTTGAGGTGTTTTATTCATGTGATCCAATGGAAGGTTAAATTCATCTCATCTCCTCAGTTTTTTCATAGCAGGTCCATGTGCACTGTGTCACCTTTTGTGAGTATGTGATGTGGCCACAGTCCAGCATCCTCATTAGCTAAAGTTTGGTCTTGTATCCCATACCTTCCCTATGACATGGTCAGTCTCCACTGGTCTCTGATTCCTGTATCTCAGAGTCTGTGGCTGTAAAGGTAGTGAGATGATTGTGCATGTTCTCAGGACTGTGACGTTTGGCTCAATGTGCAAGAAAGACCTCAGCAAACACTTCTTAATGGTTTGTGAAGGTAGAAGGGTGGGACAGCTCTCATTTACCTTTACCACCTTCACAAGGCTGATTTTTAAACTTCTTCCTTTTGAGGCTGCTTTCCATCTTCATTTGTACTTTATTTCTTGGATTTGGCATATTGGAAGCAGGGGGTGGGGCAAAGGTTCTGAATGTTATTTACCATCTTCAGCCCCAGGGTGCATCTCCCACAGAGAAATATCAACCAGCCTGGTGGAAGGAGATCAGTGCAAGACTCTTGAGAGCTTTGCCACACAATGCCCATTCACTAAGATGGTATCAACACATCCATCCTAATAAACACTGGTGGTTCTAGGTCCAGGCTATGTGAGAGTGACCATGGCTTGCAAGATGAGGCCAACATTTTCTGAGGGGCCTAACCTGCCATTAGGTGACTCAGTGCATTTCCTACCACCTCAGCCAGGAGGCAGGGACAAAAGCTGTAGCCTTTATTTTTTCCTCTTGGGGTGGGACTGTTCCGCCTTGGCACCAGGACTACAGGAACGCCTTCATTAATCACCTCCCTGCCTGGTGATCTCATCAGCCAGAGCAGAACTTGAGCTAGGGAAGCAGAGCCCCAGAAACTGAGTGAGCTTCCAGAATGTCCTAGGTCACTGGCCTTGGGAATAAGAACTTTCTGGGTTTAAACTTCAGAAATTCTGGGTCTCATTTTACAATATTTAAAATGAGGGTAATAACTGCAGCCTGTTTTGAGGATTGAGAGAGGTGACGTATGTAAAGCACTTAGCTCTAGCCCAGCAAATGGTATTATTAATATTTCCTCGGCAGTATAGTCATGGAAAATAGTATTTTCTGGAGTTTAAAAATTCAGTCTGGGTGAACTTGAGTTTTTGAATGCTCCTCTTTCTAGTGGACCTTGGGCAGCTTCATCTTGCTGAGTCTGAATCCTCATTTGTAAAATGGGAATAAGGTACCTATCTCATGGGGTCATTGTATTGATTAAATAATGCTGACTGAATGCTTAGCACAATTGCTAGTATATACAAACTGAGCAACAATAGTGAGTTACTGTTGTCACTTGTTTCAGCCCTATATCCTTCAGAGTCCAGTTCAAGGTGCTATCCTATCCACAAACCTCTTTAACCCTTTCTTTCATCTTCACTGATTTAGGTACTTCTTACAATCACTCTTAAATTGATTCTGTTTACGTCCGTCTCTATCAAAATTAAAACTGGGCCTCCTAGGCTCAACTTGCTCTCACCTTGAGGTGTATCTTACATGATTTTATTGTTTCCAGAAATCCCACAAAACCAATCCTAAGAGCATTAAAATTTGAATTGCATTATACATAGTGCAGCAAAAGTTCCGAAAGTTGTTTTTAAAACGGCTTTCTTCCTTTAAGCTTCCACTTCTTGAGCAGTTGTTCATCTTTATGTGTTTCCTTTCTGAGCTAGAACCTGCTCCGCCCCGTTACCCTCTCTCAGTTCCCTAGGGCACCATTTTCCCCAGTAACACAGTCTCTGGAAACCGCAGCGCCCTAAAACCCACCACTCACAGGGTGCGAAAGCGCCTGCGCAGCAGGAACCGTCGACTTGACGTCAGCGCGCCGGGATCGGGCCGTCCCCTTTGACGCCAGCCTTGCCACAGCCCCGCCCAGCACGCCTGTATACTCCTGCGCATGCTCCGAACTCCGCCCCCGTGCGTCACAGAATGGCCTCGGACACTCAGGCAGACCCTGACGTGTCGGGGAGGAGCCGGGCGTGGAGGTGCGTGGAGTGGAGCTCAGGGCTGCCGAGGGGAGCGGAGCTGAGCGGCTGGGCGGGCCTGGCCAGGCCAGCGGTGCAGAGACGTCGGTCGAGCGGCGGCGAACATGCGCTGTTGACATATTGGAGGTGAGTCTGCTGTGCGGGGCTGCTCCGAGGGGCCGGAGCCAGGCAGGCGGCGCCGAGGCCTTCCCCTGGGGACCCTGACCGGCTCGGGAGCTGTATCTGAGGCTCCGCCGGACCGGGCCAGGGCTTGGTTCTGGGGGGCCAGTCCGTGGGGCAACTGTACCAACCGCTCTAACTGTCCCCTCCCTGCCCTGGTCCGAGGTGTGGCCCACCAGGGGCGCCTGCATGGGAGCGAATCCTCTGGCTTCCAGAAGATGTGCCCGCGTCCTAGGGTGGGGACGGAGGCCGGGACGTGGCACCGTGGGCCAGGGCGCTGGTGGCGCAAGGGTGGCACAGTCGAGGTGGCAGCAGCGCTCTTAGCCCTCCCCTGCCCAAATTTCTTTCTGCTGTGAGGTTGTGGTTGTTGGGAGCCTGGTTGAATTTTGATCTCTCAGCGCCGCTGTCCTGCGGGGGGCGAGAGCGGGAGCAGCCCACGTAGGTCTCAGATTGGCATTCCGGTGACTCCCCGCCCCAAACTGCTAATCACCCCCCTTGGAGTTCAGCACAGTGTCACCAACCGGTTCAGGTTGTTTGTGTTCTCTTCCTTTTTTTTTTTTTTTCCCTAGTAAGCGACGGTAACCCTTTAAGTGCCAAGAAAGTGAAGATTCTTTCACTGATGGTTATTTGATTCCATTCCTATAGTGCCTTCACGCATTTCACTTCGTTGCTATCAGCTTTGAACGCTGATCTTGTGACGGTTGCTGTTATTTTCATTTTCTGGATGGGGAAATAGAGCCCAGTTGGGGGGGCAAGTAAGTGATTTATACTTGGGTTCAGCCAACTGGTGAGAGGCGTAGCTTGAATCAGAGTTTACATTTCTAGGGTTCAGGTTCTGGGTTTCTTTTTGTGAGATTTTTTAGACCCTTCTCAGCTAGAAGGCAAGGCAGAAAAATTTGAATTGCCCAAAATATACCAAAATCTAGAAAATGATTTTTTTCAGCTATTTTTGAGCAGAATTACCTAAAATAAAAATTATTCAGTTGTGAGAAAAGAAAATCTTACTCTGAAGCTTATTCATGGGTGGCTGGTTATTTTGTCTGATAAATTATGTTGCTTTCAGTGCACTTAAAAAGGGATTGGGTTATGACTTTGCTAAATCCTGAAGTTGATGGAGCAAAATGCAGCATTAAGTCATACAGTAGAGAAACAAAGGGACAGTAAATGAATGGTATCTGTTCAGAACTATTATTAAAAGTATTGTTACTTAAAATTGGAGCACATAAAGAACAAGAATAAAAACAAAAAAACCCTTGTTTTGTTGTTAGAGATTGACCTGATTCAGACAGAAGGAGCTAAATCTTCTGAACCTGTAGCTTATTTTTTCTTAAGTTGAAGTTGGAAAAAAGAGCATTTAAATAAGTAGAAACCTTAATTAAAACTTAATTCTTAATTTCATGACTCTACAAAACTTTTTATTTTCATTTTAAACCATATTAAGATAAAGTTGATTACTCAAGCTTAAAATTGCTTCTCATGCAACCAAAAGAGACACCTTATAATGATTGGCTTTGAAAAGTTAAAAAAAATCTGTAAATGTCACCTTTGGGAGAAGTAAAACACAGTGTGTATTATCTACGGGGGTGGGGGTGTGTGTTTCTCAAAGAACACTTCACTCTTAACAGTTGTTAACAAGAATACAGTATCATATAAAATAGATTTTCTTACCATTATACAAAGAGTAGTGTTCTTGTAAACAAGGCATTTTAGACAGGCTGTTTAAAACCCAAGTGAGTTGTTAGGTATCTGAAGGTCATATAGGGTATGATATGCCCAATGTAAAAGTTGTAATTTTCTTATCCTACCCGTGAAAGACACAGTATTAAGGGAAGGGAAACAGAGAATACCCAATTATCTGCCTTCATTTCAATGTCAGAAAATTATAGATGTACTGTTCCAGTAATTTTTTAGCGGTTTTTTTTTTTATATCGGCTAACTTTCTGTACCCTTAATATCTCCAATTACATAGTTTCAGATGACAGTGAACATATCCTCCCAATGTAACTTGAGGCAAACTGAACACACTGTCTTTTAAGCCCCTGAAAACAGTCTTGTGAATATCTGCAGTGGTAGCACATTTTTGTTTTTTTGTAAAGAATCTGATACTTAAAAGGGTAAGTCTAATGATAAAATTAGAGTCAAACTGAAATGTACTAATTGGAAAGCAGTAAATAAAGAGGTGTGACCATGGAACTTTTTTGCTTAGTTCTTAACCTGGCTCATAAAGCCTATTCCAAAAGAAGTTTTAGAAATATTTTTAGTAGTGATGGTATCACAGGAATATGAGTATAGCTCCCTGAAATAATTAATATTAAGGAATCATTTGCATGTTTTAAATTCTGAAAAGCCTGTTTACTTTGTGGTTAAACTTCAAAGATCCACTGTTGAATTATAGTTTTTTATAATTTAATGAGTCTTTATGCTGTTTACTCTGTGCCAGGCTGTATTCTATTTTACAAATGTTAACCCATTTAATTGTCATAACAATGTCATTTTACTGATTACCCACCCCTATTTTACAGGTTAGGAAATGGGGCACTGAATAGTTGGTAACTAGCCTAAGGTCACCCAATTAGTAAACAGAGGAGCCTGATTTCAAACTCAGGCAGCTTGGCTTCAGGGTTTTGTCTCTTAACCACTGTGCTATGCTGCTCCCATGACTTATTATTCGTTAAATAATTTTAATTGGTTTGTTCTAGAAAAGGTGATGGTTATTTTAGTAGTAAGATATCTAGCATAAGGTATAATACAGTTTGAAGGGCCAAGAAACAAGTTACGAAAGTAGCCTCGTTCATTAAAAAAAAATTGGGGTCAACATTAAGCCCACATAAGATTCAGAAAGAAAATTAAGCATGTATGAAGTAAAAGCATATAATAACTTGTCTGGAATTATTTAATACCAAAGTAGTTGGATGAAGGGAATGTCAGAGCTAAACCTAGATTCTCAAAAAACTTTCAAGCAAATGGCTATTTAAAACCTGTCATCAGGGAACATAGGTTAGAAAAGTTGATAGTTGTGTTAAGAATATGTTTCTGTACAAGAACCAAAAGCCAGAGACAAATAGATACTTCATAGCACTGGACCCAGAGGTGTAAACAGTGCTGTCCTCCAGGAATCAATAGCTAACTAAGCCCTCTTCAAAGCAGTAACTGCCAGTAGGTTCTTGTATACAGTACATGGGTTAGAAACAACCAAAAAAACCCTCCCTCACCACTGAAATGTTTGAAGTGGGTATTTGAAAAACATTTATAGACGAAAACAATCCTGATCTTATTTGTAGAATGATTGGCTCCACATTCAAATATAGTACATTCAAATAGATGTTAGATGCCAAAGTAGCATCTGACAGTCATGAGAAACTTCCATAAGGACACTGGTTCACGGGCCACACAAGTCAGCAGCAGTATTGTCACGTGCTGCATAATAACAGAAAGAGTACTGAAAATTCAAAAGAAAATTATCCTGCTAGCCAATAAAATATTGAATGCTGAAGTAGCACTATTCATTCAGCTTTGTACAGTTTATATGTGATCTAAGGATAATCTAAAGCATGAAAGTGAGAATGTTTAAGGACTAAGGTGACTACTGCATGATTATAGGCTAAAAAGACAAGAAATACTCACTTTGAGAAGACCAACACTAAGAATTATTATCATCAAAGTCTAAAAAATGAGAAATGGCATAAAAAAGAGAATGCAAACTTGTTTGCCAAGACTTGAGCCTTAAAACAGCAAGGTAAGAAACTTACCACAAATTCAAGACCAAAAAATGGAAAGGTTGTTATTGGCTATAAAGTTATGGGACTTATCGCAGTTGGTTAAAATACTATAAAAGTAATTAAAAAATTTACATTTGAAATCCTTAAGATTATATAAGGATCAGGACTTTCTTT